TATTTTTTGTGTACATTCATGCTGCAAATAAATGATTTTCAAGAAAAGTTCATACTTTCGAAGCCCGTACACAGAATTTTCTAATTTTCGTGAAGTGAAAATTTCAACGAGCTTTGAATTGATTGATTGTTAGTGATTCCGGGCGCATCGATTGCTAGGGTCTTCGGTTCGGCAACATTTTCTCGGGAGGTGGCAGTGATCTTCCTTTGCTGATAGCGAGATCCGGCGGCGACCTACCGGCTAGCGGGGTTTTCCCCCAACCAGGTATCTCCCACCAGCGAGGCACCGCATCAGCCAAGTCAAGCTCTCAGCTCCCGGCATGTGTTGGAGTGTAGTGAGTGTGTAAAGGGAGATGATAGGACAAGGAAGAGGTAGAAAAGATCGCGTGCGGTCCGTGGCTCGATTGTTAGGGTACTGCTCCGGCATTCATCTGGCGTTGATGGGAGAAACAACGGAAAGCTACCGCTCAGTGCTGACGGTCGCTAGAATTCTCCTCCAGACAGCGACGGAGTTCGACTTAGCTGACAAGCTAATGTCGAAAATCCTCTCACCGTCGGGACTCGGCCCTAGGACCTCTCGGTGAGAGGGACGAGCTTTGAAATTCATTTTATTTCTATACGAAGGTTGCCTTTTATGTTTCGGGATTTGGCAACCCTGGTGTTGCAATCTGGCAACTGACAGCTCTATCGTAAAGTTATGTTTTGAGTTATAATACTTTATGAACTTTTACATACGAGCGCTATTTTGATTTTTAACAGAATTTAAAAATTTCATCTTCCCAAAATGAATTTAATCAAGAACATTTTCGTGCGATTATTTTTTACAACTTTCACGTGGATTAACTCAGCAACAGCTGCCTGGTTGAACTTAAATTCAATTTTTGGCGATGAAGCTCCATCAAGACCAGTGTATCATGTATGGTGAATTCCCATCGTGTCGTTAGTTCACTCCAAGACGAATTTTCGCGAAGTCGTCCAAAATCCAGTGTTGTCCGAAAACCATTATGCTTGCGTAACTGATATGGCAAGCTCGTCATTGACATATCTGAGATTGAGACAACCTTAGCATTATACAGCATACATTCCAATATTCATAACCATTTGACTTGTCAAAAATTGTTCGCTGGGGGGATCCCACACAATTTATCAATCGCTCCCAAAAAGCTCGTTCATTTGTCGAAAGAAATGCCCAAAAAAATACCATCGCAGTGCTCCGAAACACGTCTATGATATCGTGACAGGTGATGAATCGTGGATTTACGCATATGAGCCTGAAAGTAAACAGAAATTCACTGTATGGGTGTTTTAAGATTAGCAGAATCAAACAAGTTGTTCGCGCACGAAGCACTTCCAAACAGATGGTCGCCTTTTTTTTTGGAAAAAACTGGACATGTTGCAACCGTACCACTAGAACTACGCAGAACAGTCAATTCTGAGTGGTACACAACGATTTGTTTGCCAACTGTCTTCCAAGAAATCACGAAAACCAACCGCCGAAGACGGATCACTCTTGACCACGAAAATGTGAGCTCTCACACATCGGCTCAAACAACTACATTTTTGAGCAACCAAACATCGATTTCATGAGTCATCCGCCGTATAGTCCTGACTTGGCACCGAATGACTTCTTTTTATTCCCGTACGTAAAAAACAAACTGGGAGGTCAACGTTTTTCGATACCTGAAGAAGCGGTTGCTGCATGTTTTGGAGATACCTCAATCAGAGTGATAAAAGTGCTTCGACAATTGGTTCAAACACATGCAAAAGTGTATAGATCTTCATGGGAAATATTTTGAAAAACAATAAAGTAATTTTCGATGATTAATATTTGTTTTTGTTCTCTAGTCCTGAAATATAAAAGACAACCCTCGTAACAGTACGTGGGGTGAATTTAAATCTCATAGAAAATACACTTCCATTTTCGGAGGAAAGCATTAGATGAAAGTAGTGGAAGGTATAACCACCATTTTTGTGGTCTATTGTAGTTCAGTGTTTATTTAGAAGTTGATTTTATTAAAATAGGTAGTTTAAAAGTGATTCAATTACTTTCGGTGTCTACGATAATGTTCGAAACATAATTCTGTTCGTATGTAAAAAGTATTTTTTTAATGTACTAAACTTAATCACTTTATTTTAAATTGCGATTTGTGTTTTATTTACACCAAGTAAAAAATAAACAAACTTTGGGTAGTATTTAGGTTATACGCTGAACTCATCTTTCGAAACATGACTCATAGTGTAAACAACAAAAGTCTTACTACATTCGGATGTTTTTAAGTAGCTTAAATACATGCAAAAAGTAAAATAAATCTGTTTGAAATGCTTAGCGACTGTTTTTTTTAATAAATAGTGATGAAAACTAAGTGCACGCAACATTTTAAAATTTTTATTTATTTACACCATATTGCCCTTCCCGCAATTAGAATTAATTTCATTTAGTAGTATAATGATCGCTGTCGTGACTCACAAAATAAAAAAATACGTAACTAGCATTTGCTCTAAAAATACGATTCAGATTGCGCGTCATGACAACAGCCATGGCACGCACGGTTTCCCTAATTCGGCCACTGATTAAATCAGTGGCTTGTTGATGCAACCTATTGAAGACGGAAACCGGAAACGAAACGTTTTGTTACAAAATAAAGACACATTTTATTCACCGTAACCGGAACGTTATTTGAATCAGCTTTATGCCTTGAATGAGGGAAATGGTTTAACATTTAATTAAAATTATTTTGTTCTCCACTCCAATTGGTTTATTCAATGATTATTCCGGAAGCGTGAACTGCAAAGGTCATTAGTCTCGTAAGTGTAGTGCATGTTTTATCGCGGGAAGAGGCGAATTTGCCCCGCTGGATGACAAGAATCGGCGTCGACCTTCCCTAGGGTTTGCAGGGTTTCCCCAACCAAGTATCTTTCGCTAGCGGGGCACCGTCCCGGTCGGGACAAGATCTAAGCTCCAGACCGGTCTCCCGGCATGTGTGGCAGTGTAGTGCATGCGAGTGTAATTGTGAGGATACAACAATGAAGAGGAAGGAAAGATTGAGCGCCGTCCGTGGCCAGGTTGAGAAGGAACTGCTCTGGCATTCGCCTGGTGTTGATCGGAGAAACCGAGGAAAAGTAACAAAGATCAGAGCAGTCGCTCGTTCAATCTCCTCTCCTCTCGCTCCGAGGTGTGATGCCGTCTGAGGTAGCCCCCTCACCCCAACCTCCTCCGCGGGAGTACATTCGCCACGGATGGCCACATTAACGCGGGCTCGTCCCTTTTCCCGCCCGGTCCTGTGCCATGTCGCCCCGCTCGAGTGATCAGCGCTGGCGCGGCGCCCGCTCTGCTCCGCCGCACCAGGCGCGCCGGAGCTGCAGTGGCGAGGACGACGCGACCTGCCAAGTGGTTGCGAACGGAAGGCGTCGCGCTGACTCGCGACTTCACACTGGCGCGCGTTCTCTGCACATTGCGCACACGCTCCGCGGCCACTTGAGCCCACGACCCCTTCTTTGCTGAGTGCGGGGCGGCGCGGCGGCTGGGAGCGCGTGTGCGAAAGACAAGTTCCTTTTACGAAAGGCGCAACGCTCGGCAGAGATCTTCCAGCTCCAAGGTAAAAGATATACGCGACCGGTTGGCAAGGTGAATGTACACAATTTCAATTCGCACCCATGTAAAATCGTGCCAATTTGATTCGTGACTGAGATGATACGCGATAGTCTATACTTCAATTTTCTTTAAGAGGCCGATGAGAATAGGTGATTGTTACACCTTTTGCATTATAAAATGAATCTCGGTAATTAATTTGCAAACGTTCTGCTCAGCGGGGCTGGTGGCCACATAAATATGGTTACTACTGTTAAAAATATTATTTTATAAGGCAGGAGGTGTAACAATGACTTAATATCATCGACCACTTTAAAGAAATGTAAGTATACACAAGCGAAATTTAGCTTTGCCAAGGTCGATCATCTTGGATCTCATTTTCTTCGCTAGCCTCTTGGCTAACATTCGTGGGACTGCAAGAAAGTACTACAAAAACGCAATCTGGAGAGCTGCTACGTTCTCACGCAAGTTTGGGCAATGCCGCGTGCTGGATACAAATAAAACAAGCAGTTGGCGTCATGTAAAGACAAGACAAGACAAGACAAATCATACGAACTGCATGGATATAACCAAATTCGCACAGTAAATAAAATATCACTATCCGATTTCAAATTTACCAGTCAAATTCACGAGTAAATTCATATAAAATTTTTGCTTTAATAACTAAAGAAATGAACATAGCTTCTATAATAGAAAGTTGCTTAAGTTATGTCAATTATGTCTGTTATTACAATTATTCACTCAGATTTATAAATCTGAAATGAAGAAAGGAAGCACTTGATCCTTAATATTTCACAATTTTAACTTCTTCCCACTCCAAAAAAACACATCAAAATCACACACATTATAAATGATTCATTTATTCTTTGTTTAAGCAATTCAGTTAATTGCATTCTCATTTTCTTTCAGTTTTAAAGATCCTGATTTTTAATGGTCCAAACATTTCTTGAATGCTGAGAATGGTCTGAGAAAGTAATATTTGAAAGAGGAGAAAGTAATTTGAAATCTCTCAAATTGATAGTGATGTTCTAAATGGGTAATCAGTTTTCAAAGTTATTACTTGAGAATTGAACATTTTATTTTCTTGTTATATGGATTGTTACCCATGTGTTCGCAAGCTCATTTATAAAAGCACTTTATGACAGCTAAAATTAACTTGACAATTCCAAAGAAAAAAAATGTGAAAATGTGATTTACTTCTCTATACAACTGAAATGACAGAAAAGAGTGTAGCATTGAAGCTAATAACACAATTTTTCTATTGCAGCTTAATTTACACAAATTATGACCTACATTCATGACCTTTTGTAAATCTCTGAATATTTAACACTAAATCATAAAATCTATTTCAAATACACCACACTTCAGTTATTCTCAAATAGAGATGAATAATTTATTTATCTTGAACTCACCTTAGGCCCAGAATATTTTCTAACATTATTTTGCTGTACCAGTTTACATTCTTCTTTCTCAACAAGATTGCATTCCTCAGTACTGGTCTCTTTCTCCTCCTCCATTTGACCCAAGTCTTCAGCACTGTGATAAATTGTAAATCTGGACAAATTTATTAGTTCCTTGCCCTGTGGCACATCTGATGTCATGGACAAAGTGTCCTCAAAGAATTCCTCTTCTTCATCCATTGTGGTTTGCATTCGTCAATCTAAAACAATGTAAAATGCCACAATTTTCCTCCGCTAATTTTTTGTTACACTTACATTTTCCAATGATCTGCAAACAATTTTTCTTTCCATGCTTGTAATTGACACAATAAGGTTATGACACATGCATATGATTTTAGGTTACAGTGGTGTACGTACTTAAACAAACAAAATTCGTCACTAACAGATTGATTTGCGGCGTAAAATACACAAATTTACGATATAAACATTGCAAACCGCGAGCACGTTTGCAGCAGGCACAACTGACAAGAGCCACTCCACCACTTCAGGTCCTGTCATTGAGTAATCGGCTATTTATATAACTTACACATGTTTCAAAGTTCTTGCCAACAACACTTATTCTTCTCATCCTGATGTTGTGTGTCACTTCAATTAGTTCGAATGCCTGAATGCATTCAAATATTTGAAACTACGGAAATTTGAAGCAAAAAAATTAATTCCACATCCGCATCACAAAACCGAACGTGCACAGGAAGTTATGGTGTGGTGTGATGTGGGGTACTATTTCAGAAATTTGAGTTTACCTAGTATTTTATTGAGAAGTATGAATCGAACTTTAAAATTCGACACGAAATTGGCATTTTATAATGTTGAAATATGCTCGTATGACATGAACAAAAACACTCTTCTGCGTAATAAATACATTTAAATTAAAATCCTCTATTTTTGATTACATATCAGTGAATTTTGAAATATTATTCATAAAATACTAGTTTCATTTGGTTCACTACTATTCATTTGGTCATGCCTCAAGTCAATGACCTTCAATTAGAACACCGTTCGTCTATACGCCTACTTCACCGGAATACTGACGGAGTGATTTTCTTGTTCCCAATACCATTTTTTTCGTCTTTCCTAAGGAAATAAATTCGTTACGAATTATGCACATGAATAATTAATGCGATATAAAACTTTTTTATTATTTATTTCAGTCTTATATAAAACATAAAATGCATCACTTATCTTTCTATATTATCTGTATACATCCTGCTTAATTGACAACAACATACACTGCGTGCTCATGTACAAATGTATTTTCGTATTTACAGCATATACATCTAATAATAAATTTTTGCATATAAAATATGTCAATGTCTTTGTGGCATGTTTCTGGAACTAATTCACATGATAATCATTTGTTTCATTCCACAATGACTAGCATATAAAAAAATGAACAAAGAGAAAATCTCTAGCATTACAAACATTTTTCAACTAGAAATTTTACAAAAGAACATTATCATAACGATGATCCAGTAAATTCACTCATCTAATTTACATACACAAAAAACACAACTTGTGCTTTGTAGACTGTTACATTCACACATATTGAGATCATGAACTTATATTTTCCTAAAATAATCATGGAAAATCATTCTTTGTGATCTACCTATTAATGCGTTGAAAGTACATTTGCAGCAACAACAGTTAACTTCTTCATATCCATTCAATCACTACCTAATTTAAAAATAGTATAACACAAGAATTCAAACTCTCGTAAAAATACAGACCAAATATCTTGGTTGTGCAGTTGAATGCAACAGTGTAAGATATTTCTAAATGTTTTTAACAGATGTTTCACATTTTTAAATTTTTACTGCTGTCATTAATTACTACAGCTAAGAGCAGAAAAAAAACATTTCTTCACTCAGCCAATTCATTCAAAAACTGTTTAAGCAATAAAAAATGTGCCGAATATGCACAATAATACAACTTTACCGCCAAATGAAGCAGCTGTAACTACAATTATATTTTCGAGTTTTAACTTGTGCAATAACACAACAATGAGTTATAGTTAAACTTATCATTAACATTTAAAATGAAATTTGTTTAAAATTGTATAACATTGAGTAATTTATGATACTAAAAGCAGAAATTAATTTCATTGCATGCACATTATTGTTTACCACAATATTAAAACAAGGCCATTCACACAACTGCTTTGTGGAATAACATTCTTTTAGTGTTTAAAGTACCACTCAGTCTTATTCAGGGTACTACTAAAAATCTACTGGACTACATCACTTTCAACAATATCGCATGATGCACAATTTAAAATGTTTTACAATAATATCAATGCACTGACTGCTGGAAGGAATAATTGAAAGCTACCATTAACATTTATTTGTAACGGTATACTTTGCACTGTTTGGAAGATTGTTCTATAGTTGTTTTTTTATCTTGCTAATAATAATATCTTGTGCTTGCAGTGAAAAAACACATTTCATGTACAAAAAAACTAATTTATTATAACTAATTTACTCTTTGCACGGTTATTCAACAACAATTGGCAAAAGGCTGTACTTCTGAATATTTGATAAAGCTATACTTTGAGAATACCCTCCAAACAATATACACCGCAAAAACAAACAAACAATAATGTTCCTTAGGAACTTTTTATTTATAACATAAAAACAGAATTGTATGCTGCACTTTCATTGGGTGCTGTTACTGTTTTGCTAACATTTGTGATCTCAGCATCATCATTTTCATTGTGTTGTCAAAAGCATTCGGCACAAGTTAGGTGAAATTTTCATAAAAAATGAACTTCATGATGCTTTGAAAATATTCTTGACTGACATCTGTTTATATATCTTTACTGTTTGGGGTACTTTTGACCCTAGCTACTTTAGCTAATACAAATTTGTTAAATACAATTAATATGTATATTCAAATAATATATAGTTAATACAGAGACCAAAAATGCAAGCCTATTTCTATTTTGCGATCTTTCATTTTGCATTATGAAAGATTGATGAACAATTCCTTAAGCACATTGAAAAACAAGAAAAAAAGAAAGGTTCCAGTTAACTCTGGATACAGTGAACTTTTTGTTACAGTCAACTGAAGTCACTGATTCCAATCCACAAACATAACTAATACTCACTAAAGATTCAGTTTTGTGAACTCTCAAAGTTGATTATAATGAACATAGCAAATACAACTTCTCGGAAAAAATGTTTTGCTCAAGTACTGTGAAATTGTGTAACACTTGGGGTTTGAAGGTAGGGTTTCTTACGAGTTATTTTTGTAACATTGTTGGCAAACGAAAGGGATTGAGAGAACTATGCTGCTGAGAAATTGCTTCAGCCCATCAGCGGTTGTTCTGTTCTGCCTGAATGCAGACCACAAAATGAAAACATTACATAGCGTTCTCCATTCTGCGTATATTACTCCAAATACAAGAAAATAACTAGCTAGGACAACAACAATGCAGAAAAAGGTGCAGAAAAGTGAGATATAAAAAAGAAGGAAGTGCTGTGGGGCAAAACATTGAAGAAAGTTAAGATTGCAAGAATATCTAGAGCAAGAGGATAATATAGAATAATATGTGAAGAAAGATAAAAAAAATATTGAAATTTTGAATTTGCAGGGATTGGATATTTTATTGAACTTCTGAAATAATAACTCCATCACAGGTGAAAATTAGTTTTATATTTTAGGATTATCAATGATCAGATATCTGTTATAGTGAACAAAAAAGGTTCCCAGAGGTTCACTGCAACTGGAGTCAACTGTAAGGTAAAAATTTCTTTTATCTTTTTGGAACATTAGAATAAACCACATTAATAATTGAAAACAAACTAATTTTAAGACTTCTTTTTCTGAAATAATTTATAAGTTTTTCTAAATTATTTTACCATTTTCTTTCTCATGTGAGCTATTTCAGTCTTTCACAAAGAGGAAAATATTTTTATGTAGATACATTGAAGGAAGAAACATCAAAATGGCAAGATAATTTGAAATATGACTTCTAAAATTGTCATTATACACCATATTCTATAGTAACAATGAATGACATTTCATAATGCTGATTATTCCCTTTCTAGCTGATATGACAATTAAAAACAGTACATTAAATAATACTAAATAACATAGAAAATTAATGTCTGAAAAATGATACCAGCAATGTAAAAAATATTTTTAGAACGCTACTATTAATTGCAGTTCTTTCAAGGCATCAGTAGTATGCTAAAAGATCAAGTTTTAGTGCTAGAGCTGAAAGTGAGAAGATACTCTAGTGTTCAGAAAAATCTGTAAATGCAACAAAGAAAAGAAGACTTTTGACTACATCAGCTCTATAGAACTTCATGTATCATGGAGTGATGTGTATATTTGAATTGAAATAAAATTGTAGTCAGTACAGCTGTTTAAAAAACAAAGTATGACACACATAATAAAAATTATTTCATTTTGCTTGTAGGATTACATGACTCAGCTATGGCCTCGTGATGCAACTTTTCCTACTCGCAAAATAAAAGGTCACTTTTCCCACTTGTATAAGAAATCACTATTATATCTTGGGGTTTCATAATGCAATTGATTACAAGATAGAACTGCAAAGACATGAAGACGCTCAAAAACAAATGCAAAAATATCATCTTGATCATATTTGTCACTAAACTAAGCTAGAGAGCATTTTCCATAGCAGAACAAAATAGACCAACAACAAAAAATTCATAAAAAATTTTTTAGAAGAGATTTCTTATTTAGCTTTCAACTTGCAAGTCAAACAAAAAATAAATGTCACAAATCTACTTCTGGAACTCTTCGAACTTTTACTCATGAAAAACAAAATTCTCTGGTATTTTACAAACACATTTTTAAAATTGATTATTTAAATAATATTATTTTCTCCGAAATCTCAAAAAAATCTATATACAGATACAAAATGTTTAGCAATAACTTTAATAAAGTAAATAAATCTACATATCAGTAATATGAAACAAAATCTTGAACATGTTCTGATGTTCAAGTTCAACATGATATCAAATTGATATCTCAAATAGTAGTTTTGAATGTCTAACTAAATGTGCAACTTCCTATGCACATCATTGTAGAAAGAGATTAGTCAAAACACTGAGCTGTCATTGGTTACAAGCTAATACTTAAATCTATACTTCACACAAAAATAAAAAATAAAAACCTTTCATTTAATACACAAAAATTAGAAATGCATATTAGGAAGACAAGAAAACAGACATTGAAGTAAAAATGTATCACTTTTATGTAGAAGCAAACTCAGTTCTGTCAAAGAAGTGCAAAGCATGATTTCAAGGCAGTTAGTGTCTCTTATCTAGCAGGTTTTGCCCATGTCATAGCAAAGTTAACTGATACAAGTACTATACAAGTTATTGCCCACAAAACAACAAATATTACCCAACCTTTGCTATAAAATGGAGAAGCGAATTCATTCTTAACACCCATTCCAATAATTTCGAGCGTTTTCTTTCTTGCACACACAACCAAGCAAGCTGGAATAAGATACTGAATGCCAGTTCCTGCATAGGAACCAGTAATACCGACTAGTATTTTTAGATCTTCTGTTGCCATAGCTATTAAAACAGGTGGAACAATAGCCAACAATGGGAAAAAAAGTTTTCTAATACACCATCGGTAGTGACGACCTTCTGTTAGGAAGAGAGATTTCAAATTATTTCGCAATGTAATTGCAATAATTGGAAAACTCGTACTCAGTGTAAAAACTGGAAATAAAGCTAAAAAATATTCTACAAGTTTCATGATTAATCCAACATCATCCGTACTGCAGTCCCCTGAACTGCGGGGACCGAAATCAAGGGTATAAAGGTCATCCAAGTGTTGAAAAGCAAAAGCCCCAGTCAATGCTAATAACAAATAGAATGCTGCTATAAGAAAATAATCAAGAACAAGAGAGCGTGTAAGCTTTGATTTATCAGCTATAGGAGATACCAGAGCAGGTAATGAATGATGACACATAAATGAATAAACACAAGCCCCAAACAATCCAGGAATCCCTGCAACATCAGCTGGAGGAGGATGCCCTTTTGGTCCATCCACAATAAGTTTTCTGGCAGCATATGTGATCATAATTGTGAAAGCTGTGGACAATAAAGAAAATTCAGATTCTTATAATTGTTATTTTTTTGCTGTTATGTTCCTACCATATGTAACTCTTTTTAATAATATCAATAAAGAAGGTAAAGTTTCATTGAATATGAATAATTCAAAGATTACTAATTATTTCAAAGAAAAGAGTAGGATATTGCTTTTCCTACAAGACAAAAAATCCTAGAGACTCACCCAACCATCTCATTACAGTTGTAAGGATCTGAAGATACTTTGTCTTCTGGACATTAAAGAAAACAAATGGCCCCAGTAACAGTATGAAGGCACCCTGCAGTCATCACAGAAATGCACATGCATTATGTTGCTGTCTTTATTTTAACAAACAAATATTAAAACAAGCAAGATTTTGAAGAATTATAATACACATAATTTTAGGAATCATTTAAAAGATAACTCATGGTACTACAACTGCATGTACTTTCTCTTATTTGCAATGGTCACATATAATATTGCATGTCGTGTCCAATTAAATCTTCATTCATCTCTTGGTCAATGTTAACTCTTTTGCAAGAGAAGCACAGCAGATCTGAATTTTCAATTTTTGAAATTCAGAGGTTTCAATGAAAATAGGACTTATTCCGTGCCCTATTATGCTCTATTAATGCACTTTTCTCTATTCGAAGAAAAAATTTTTCTTGGGAATTAAAACTTTGGCCTCCAATTCACTATGCAACCTTGGAGACTGCTCGCATAGGGTCAGTAGGTCTCTTTTTACATATCAACAAAAATAAATATTTACACTCAAACATTTTTGAAATTTTGAGAAAACCTTAAAAAATGGTCTGAAGCAATGGGTTCAAAAAATTGAATTCATAAAATTATAAAATACACTGCTAATGTGAACATTAACATGTGTATTGTTTGAAAAAAAGTATAATGTCACTTTAGAAAACAGAAATATTTTCATGAAAATGACACTCATACCATAGAAATTGGTACATTGTGCCTTTAAAAAATATTTAAGAAAAATACAGCCATTACATGGGATTAGAAATCCTCCAACTGAATTTTTATCAAAATCTGAACATCAATTTTTACAATATTTTTTTAAACCTGAAAGTAGTAACTATAACACTAAAATATTGACATTTAAAAGTACAATTCCCCTTCAAACTTTTGGTCTTTACTTCAAAATTAATAAAATTACACATATGCAATACAAAGATTTTTGTGTTTATTTTCCTTCTTTCCTCCCCCACTTTTTTTCCTTTCATGATTGACTGCAATAAAAAGAAAATTACTACTCTGTTTTGAAATAAAGAAGCATCAGTTACAATTCTCCAAAAATTTACTTTGTGTTTCAGCATCTATTTGAATTCAGATCTCATGAAGAGATTCAATATCAGCTCAATAATATGTTGAAAGAAAGTGAGAATTTTGCTGTTTTTGGTTGAGTACTGAATAATATTACACATTAAAAGAGTAAAGTCAAACCCTGAACAAGAATATTCAAAATAACTTATCAAAAAATTCTGATAACTCAAGAACCAAAATCCCAGTTGTTGCATATCACTATCATTCTTTTTAACCTTTTTGCTTAAAACCCAATTGTGATATCAATCCAGCCATTTTTTTAAACATATTAACAACGAAAAAAGAAGAGTAAAAAAACAAACATGAGTTCCTCTAGAGAGAGCAACAATTATATTTCAGTTATTTTTGAAAGCTTCATAAATGCACAACACAATATTCTCATTTCCACTCAAACTTTAGTCTCCAAAAATATTTCAAAAGTAAATAAATATTTTGGGGCTCATTTACATGAATTATCTCAAATTGATTCCTGCAATTAATCCTCAAAAATTTGTATGAACACACTGAAGTGTATCTTACCAAGAACACATGATAAGCATCATGGCGAGTGAGGTCTGAATCTTCCCAACAAAGCGTGGAATCATTCAAAGTTGAATTACACGAAAAGTTGGCAGGTTGATATGTACTACAGACAGAAAATGATACCAATGAGTATTTATAACTATAAGAAAAAAATATGTAAACTATATATTTTAACTTAAAAATAGAATCTCACCAGGAAACATCTGCTAGGGACTTTGCCACAGCAGCTGAGTAGATGGACAGATCTCCATACAAATAAATTACAAAGCACAGGAAGAACAATGTACGTCCCACTATAAAATACAAAACCAAGATCACTTTTTACAAAATGTCATAATATGTCATTTTTAACAGCAAAATAAGTTGTGTTCAACAGCAAATAATTTGTATTTACATTTTACTTATTTATTTTTTATCAACCAATTGTGTGTGACAAATGGGGAGAAGTTAATTAAAAAATAATTTCAAATGAACCAATTCTTATTTTACATTAAAATGTATAATTGAAGTGCACACTGAATATTAGCTGATCAAACCACTTTCATATCCAATGTTTCACCACATACTTTACCACAAATTGATGAATCATCACAACACTAAAAATTTTATTTCAAAAACATAATACTAAGCATACAGCAAGAACAAATAATAGGTGAAATGCATCTGGAAGAGCAAGTTCCTATGCTAGAGTGTTTACAGCACACTATGATTAGGACAGTGAACATTGTTTACCCTGTCATCAATTCATATTTGGTGAAAAAATTCCACAAGTGTAATTAAAATTATGCCCATTAACACCCAGTGACTGCATTTGAGGACGCACATTTCTGGTCAACTCAAATTTGATTCTTTTGCAAATTTTATTTCTTCAATAGATGTATTCATATAAGGAAGTTTTAGTGTTCCTGAATGATAGATGTCGATTTAGCCGAGATTGCTAGAGTATTGTATGCTCCTGACCAGTGTATGTTCATGACTTGCATCAGTTTCAATCTTCATCTAAAACTGTCCTTGGCTGCTGTATGCTTGTGATTAAGTCAGAGGGAGAGGTTAGTGTAAAGTAAACAGAGTTTGATCTGCATTGAAGCTGAAAGGGGCCAAGATATACCAGTTTTGCTACTTTTTCTAGATAAAAATTCTAATATAACCAACTGTTGGTGGTAGTAGTAGTAGTATAAATTAGCATTAACAATTGATTAGCCCTTCAAATTCAAGAACATGCTACCAGAGAAGTTAAACAAAGATTCTAAATATAGATACAAAGGCAATGGGCAAGTGCTATGTGTACAAAATTAATTTGAGCATTAATGGGTTAATTAAGATAAAGGTACGTATCATTTGCCAACGAGGCTCACCAGTATAACGGGACCTAACAGTAAATGTAAACTGCCAGACTGTAAATATAACTATAAAATAACTAGTACAATGATACACGCAAACAAAATTGGCATTTTAAATTCTCAGAAATAATATATGAAACATACTCACCTCTGTTAAAAAACAGAGACGCCATTTGACCCTGGAACAATTTTTTCAAGTTTAAAATTACATTAAAAGTTTGAAATTAAAATGTAGCTATTTAATAATATATTTTTAAAATCAGCGTCACCCCATAAAATGAAATCAACTAAAAATAAATTAAACCAATGTTATCATTACATGTACAGCAATAAATAGTAAAATTGCAAATTAAAAGCAGTAACATATCATGCCTCCAGTGGTATAGACAGATTACGAAGAAGGGACTTCTTTGACAGCTCTGCTTGGCCACAGCTGGCAATATAGCTGCAAGTTATGTCCATGAACTCATTTTGTCAGTGCTTTCAATTATAGTTGGCTCCTTTGTAAATGGCTTCATCACTATCTCTTGTAATGTCATCTTCTTGCATGGTGTTCCTTTCCTGATCTGTCAAAGTGGTCCCTTCCTAGTAACTCCTCTATAAGGACGTGAGCAAAGTGGCCTTCTTATCCAAGACTGCAGGTTCAAACCTGGCAGAGGGTGAGCCTCCCCCCATCTTCTATGCAACACATTATGCCATTTTCGGGCATAAAGATTACATAAATTGCAGTAATCGAGTAATCCTCCACAAAATTCTTGCCATTTGTCTCATAACATCACAGTCAGTCGATACCTTTTATCCTTTTGACCAGAAGTTCGGTGTACTCAGTAACCAAGATTTTCAGACCCATCAATGGGAATCTGTACTGTCTCTATATGCTTCCATGACTTAAGGAGTGTGTAGTTAAACAATTCAGCAATGACACAGTGTTTTCTTAGTCACTTGTAGTGAACATGGGAGTCAAGAAGCTATTTGTAGCACTGACTGTCAATGTGATACCAAATTTGAAAATGTTAAAAAATGCAACCCCTGACATGAATGGGCTATGGATTAATTTTTAAAGCTCAGGCATTAACAACATTATAGAGTACAATAAACACTCACAATCATAATAATGAGTAGTTTATTCTGTATTAATTGAAAGAAGCAAAAGCCAAAAAAATAAGAACAAGAATAAAATTATATGATTATACGCAAGGTCCAACAAAAATGTTTGAATCATTTGATATAAACTATAATATTTGCCTTTTTGGTGAGTTGTATCCTGTGGAATAAGGATTCCAAATCAGTATTATTAATCTAAATACTAATACTTTTTCATCATCAAAATTCAGCAGTATTTAATATGCAAGTAGTTTTCACTCCCCATTTTAATTCTCCAGTTAAAATACGAAAAGGATAGATATTTTTTCACAATAAGTGTCAGCTCAAATACATCGCTTAGTCCCTATAAGAGGAGAAATACACTTAGTATTTTTTGTAGAAAAACCTTGTTTCATGCAAAAATTTTATTCCAATTAAATAGAATACCAAATCTAAAATAACAATATACTTTTGATGATTCAATTAAATCATTTGACATATTCAGGTCGTTTCTTTGATTACTATGGGTATTAGGAGTTTTTTCTGAGAGATCAAACATCTAAACAAGTCGAATTCTACCTTAAAACATTCTACTCAACTTAAGAGTAATTTCCTCAAATCACTTTTCCAAGAGTAAATTAATCAGACAGAAAAATATAAAATTGACAAACCATTTCAATTTTCTCATGAATGATGTAATACCGATGAGGCGGGCTTGGAAACTTTTCCCATGCTACTGAGAACATAAAAACATTATTGTAATTTAAAAATCACATCAGCACTGGATAAAATTAACATATTATAACTTCAGAAGAATACATAACGAAGAAATAAGATTGGATAACACACTGAGCATTTTAATTCTGCCATGCAATTGCACACAGCATCTGAATGCACCATATATTAAAGCAATCATTAATGTAAGTGTTCTTATTAACACGTTTACTGCACATTTTGTCTTGCTTTAATTAATATTATATTCAACAAATTATACCTAACCTGGTGAAACAAGAGGTGTATCTTCATCCTGTGGAGCAGTGTCTTCATCTGCATCTTGAGGTTCATTGGCTTGTAAAGCCTGAAAATTACAGAAAAATATTATCAAGTAAGCAAATGGTATGTTTGTTTGAATGGAGTCTAATGATAGATAGAGGGATTGAGAAACAATGTGTTTGTGATAAGTAAATGACAAGTTTGTGATAAAGTTGTTCTCAGAAAAAAATTTTAGCAACAATTTTATAATTTGCAAAAAAAATAAAAATAAAAAAAAACAACGTTATTTTGCTATCTAACAAAATAATTTAGTTGCCACAATTCAAAAAGATCTGTGAATTTCCTTAAGTCACCGACAGTCAACTTTAAAGCGATTGCTTGTATTTGACATTTTATCATGCATCAAGTAATTACCGCACGCAGGGTTAAGCTTACTCTCTTCATTTGCTGCAAACGTTTCCACTGGACAATTGCATTTGCAGATGCCATTGTTTCAATCACAAAGGTGACAGTCATAAAACTGTTAAAAAAGAAAGAAGTGTGTGGGATGTAAATACAAGCATTTATGGACAAAAAGAAAGAGCATTTTACAAACAATCATACCAAACAAAAAGAAACAATATTCTAAAACTGTACACTATAAGAAAAAATTTACCTTATAAATGCTAATATACATATTACACTCAGTCCAAGAGCCCATCCTGCTTTGTCAAATACAGCTGGTAACGTCAACGCACCAGTGCCGACTATTAAATTGAAAATGTAAATGAGCCCCGTCTACAAACAACGAAAAATGTAATGAAAAATAGAATGTTATAGAAAAACAAAACTTTATACTTTCGTCGATTCCAACCTCAAAACTTACCCATGTCGAATACTGCTCCTCGGGACGTCTGGTTTCGATAGGCATTTTATAGTTTAAATTCTCTTCATACTAAGACACCCCTCACTGTCAAGTACCTGGAGCTACATTGGGAGCTATAGCACTGTTTAAACTATGAATCATTCTTACATTTTGTCTCACGATTCCACACGGATCCTCTTTATCACGCTCTGACACCCTTTGTGCAGTGCACCATTAAGTCGCCCCGCCCCTCGACAACTGGGGGGTATAACGTCATCATCTTCCCTCCCCTCCCCACACCATCTTTCCACGTTTATAGCTCCACATAACGGTTCCAGACTGCCACAGCTTCCGCTCTTTGACTTCCGCGACCTTCACATTAAACCGTATGCTTACACAATATACGTGCACCACAAGCGAGCACCATATCCCAACACGGAATACCCAGTTATTAAATAAATTGAAAATTAGTGATAAATCCTATCCAAGTCAAATTCAGGAATTACAGCACAATTATCACAAATAAATGTAGATATCTACCGACAAAATAGAGGTTTTTGCTTTAACAAAATTATAATCACTTAAGCATACCTTTTAACGCAAATTGAATTTTAATGGACTGGAGCAACAACAGAAAATACTTTTGCGCATGTTTCGTTGAGGATTCAAAGTTTTTAAAGATGTTTCAAGAAAAACTAGTTAAAAAAATACATACTTTTTCCGTGCATGTTTTGTGGATAAATTCATGCATAATGCATGATTGAATGCATTTTTTACAAATTTTCCTGCATATTTAGACTTCTATCTACCATAATAAGTACTTTCTTATTTCTTTGCATAATTTGTGAATATTAAAATTGATGCGTATTTTGTATAAATAGTATATCATTCTTGGATCCTGATAGCACGCAGTTTTCTTTGGTATTTATTTTGTTATCACATTTTAACCATCCGGTACACGTGCTGTATTTGCGACGCGAGTACACGTGCGGAAAGCAACAATCGCGAGATGAACTATCAACACCATACAATACGTCGCATAGGACAGAGAATATAGGCACAAGCATAGGATACGGATAATATATGAAGCCGAGACTCAATGCACTTTGATAACTGACAATGGAAGGGGAAATTATAGAAGACGTACATTTCAAATCCTGGCTTAAAATTTCTCCGAAATATAAAACACATTATTAGTGATGAAAAAAACAGAAAATACAGGATATGACCTCACATTGGCACAGATTTCGTCTTTGAAGTGTGTTCCAATTACGTTCTGTGACGTAGAAAGATCATTTCCTGCATTCAAAAACATTTTTTTGTGACAAAGAGTTGAATTCCCCATCACGATCCCCCCAGATGACCCTTTGTTTGCTCCTGAACATTAATGGAGCTTCGTTCTCTCCACCGAAGGCATCATATTGACTCGTCATACACGATTGTATTTGTATATGTGACTCAATAAATATTATTATTATTATTATTATTATTATTATTATTATTATTATTATTATTATTATTATTATTATTATTATTATTATTTGTCAGAGGACAATTTGGAAAAATATGTTATGCACTCTTACAAATAACTAAACGTATTGTAAAATAAAAATTTGATTGTGCATGTTGTGTCCATTTTTATCCTTAATCATGCATATTTGGCTATTTGATAGAGCATATTTTGCATACATATTTTAGCATTTGATAGTGAATGATTTTAACATTTGATAGTGAAATCCTGTCTCTAATAATCAGAATCTGATTTCAGTAGCATATTCACTCAGACCGTTAGAATACTACTTTCCCAGCAGGCTTGTTTTAATATGGTCTAAACTTTAAGGGACGGTAACTGATACGAGGAAGCAATATAATCAGAACGGTAAGCTTTCCTTATCAAATTGGTAGAGTTGCACGCTGTCAGTTTTGGCACAGTCAGGTAGCTCATCAACTGGTGACACTGCTGTGCCTCTGTCCAGGATCGTAGTTGAGACTCGACGGTGCACGCGTCCACCGACGGTCCACCGCATGTGACACGGTTTTCGTTACGAGTAAATTTTTAATAGCTTCGGCGCTCTCTGGAGAATTCTAGTGGTAGGTTGCTCTGATCGGTAGTTTTTCAATGGATTCTCAATGAATACCAGGTGAATGCCGAAAGCTATAACCTCACTAGTGGCCCACGGACCACACGCGAACTTTTCTTCTCTTTCTTGTTTTATTCTTACCCTTAACGTGCTCCTACATAAGCAATTTTCGGGAGACTAGTGGGGAAGCTTAGAGCTTGTCCCGGTTTGGGCGATTCCTTGCTGATGGGAGATATACTGATATACTGATGGGAGATATACCTGGAGCTTACATATGAATCAATGGTGCTACAACTGCACATACTACCTCCCATTAATTATAAATTTGCAATTTTCGAAATTCAGAGAGTTCAACGAAAATTAGACTCACACCATTCTTTTAAGCGTCCTTACTTCTACCGTGAAACAAATTGAAGAAAAGTTTGGAGCTGTTTTTGAGAAAAACATGTTTACAAAATTTTAAATTGCCTACATTTGTTGCAAAATTACACGAAAAGTACTCAGATTTGCAAAAAATTGAACATGACGTTATTTCCAGATCTGCTTATAAACAAAAGACTTTATTAAGGAAAAAATCTATCTTCAATATTGTAGTTGTAGCATGACATCCCAAAAAATTGCATTCTTGCAATTTTCTAAAAATCTGGGATTTTAATGAACATGAGATGAAAACCATCCTCTTAAGCGTCCTTAACACTATCCGAGGACAACGTTTGGAACCATTTTTCAGAAAATTTTGAAAATGTTTTTGTGGCTACGTGTGAAGTACCCTCAAAAATAAAAAATATCCCGTAGAAATTCCGAAAGCCTGAAGTTCGATTGGATCGATCCAGGTATATTAATTTTTAAGATAATCGGCTGAACGGTTTAGACGCTAGCATTGACCACGGTCAGGCAGACGTTTTTCCAACAATCGATTTTTCGGTATCTAGGACCCATAAAATATATCTACACCACATGTTAGAGGAATTTTATCTGTATTTATCAACAAGATTTGTTCACCTTCCAATTGGATAACTGCGTCCCAAGTGATCGCTGTCAACTCTCCTTACAGTTTAATGGAAGTAGACAGACGTTATTGCGGGCGTAATTTGAGCTAGGAAGAGAAATGACATTTTTCTTAAGAGATGGACATTCAAAACTCCACAGGGAATGAATGAGAATTTTAGTTGCCACAACCTGAATCATTTTTTTAACTTTCTTAGAAATTTTTTTGTTCAATTTCTTCTATTTTCATTTCCAACTATTAAAAGTTCTTACGTACCTGAATAAATCCTCTTCCTCATGCAATTTATTTCCACATTAGTTCATAGCAATTACAATTACTTTTTTTTTTTTCTTCAAATGGATGTGTTCTTGTTTTCAGAATCTCCATTTGAGCATGAAGAGGCTGTGAGTGCACCTGCCAAATCCTTTACATCTCCATAAGATGTTTATTGTATTTTGTCATTATTAATAATATTTTATTTATTTTCTACACAACAGAATTTCTAATATATCATTCTTATTATGGTAAAAAGTTATGTATATTTTACTATTTTGAATATAATGGTAGTTTGAAACAATTTGTTTATATTGTTAAAAAAAATGAAATACTTGTTCTGATTCAGCACAATTATCATCTTCTTGATTAGCTAATTTTTTATGTAAATAGTGAGAAAAAATGATTGAAATGTTTATAAAATAAATTGGAAAAGACAAAAACATTTGATGTCTGTGATCTTCACCTTTTGAACAACAAACAAATAGGTTCTAAGTCTCAGATGTTAAATATTTTTGCATAGCACTAGAAGTTGAAGAACCTCCTACAGACATCACAGATGCCTCAGACGACAAACGTTTATGCACAAACTTTCCATTTTATGTACTATTAACAACAGTTTTCCTCCATTAACTCAGAACCCGAAAAAATTTGACTTGGAACTTTTTGTTTGTTCGGCTTCAAGTCTGTAATGATTCCTGTCCAAATTCTTGAAGTATTATAGCTGTACAAAGCAAAATTTATTTTGTTGATTTAAGCAATTTGAACAATTAATTTTTCTCTGGTGAAATGGTTTTTCAGTGATGTCATGTTATGCATACCATGGTATCTTCTTGTATTAAAGGCAATCAAACAATACATATGTAAATTAATTATATTTTATTTGCACCTTGCATAAAATAAATAAAGAAATTATATCATTGGAGTTTTTGTCTTCTTGTTTTTCCTTTGATTGTGCTTAAAAAATTCAATTGTTTTTCTATTTTAATTTTTTTATGTTATCCTAAATTTTATACTTAATGATGAAAGAAACATTTGTACCTGAAGATGTGACCAATTGGGTCATGAAACGTGTTGTCTGCAAGATGCAAATAAAATATAATGAAATTAAATATTAATTGTTTGATGCTCTCTAAAACAAGAGAGTACCACTGTATGCAACAATATTAAATGGATAAACAATCATTTTTCATCTCCCTTTTAATAATATTTGATGTTCATAAACATATTGTATACAAATGTTACTTACTTACTAGGCATTCCAAGTATCTTATACTATTTTGACAAGATATATTTATACTCAATGTTCTTAGTATACATGTGATAATGTAGCATGTGTATAAATTAGGTAAAATTTCTTGCTATTAACAGCTGCTTCAGTATACATTTCTGTCACTTCATATTAAAAAATAATTTTCAGAGTACACCATGAAAATATAAAATGTGATGTTATCAGTGAATTCAATAAATATTTCAGTATTTTAACTTGTTTGTCTTTGAATGCTCACCTAATTCTTACATTTTCCTAAATTGTTAGTACTTTCTTATGAATTTTATTGTAAAAATATCAAACCATTTGATTAGATGATAGAAAGATGCAATTTGAAAGTAGGATACAAATTTTCAAATTCCCGGGTAAATTTATGTTTGTTTCGAATTTGACTGTTGCCTTCACGCGATTGGTCGTAGATTTCATCCAAATCATGGCGGTTACCGGAAGCTGTACAAAAAAGCGTGGTTAACATTGTGTGCCGTACTCATACCTCACCAGAGAGTATGTAACCTCATCTATACTCTCTGATACTAGTGCATACGTTTCCCGTCCGATTCACCTTCCAAAGACTGTTCTAAATAATCTGGTCAGCACCAGGTGGTATTCTGCAAGAGTGTAAAATAGGTATTGTGTGATAGCCGATAATAGTTCGTTTGGTGGCTGACGTAGACAGCACTGTTGACGTATCAAGGTGTGTGCATGTGGTCCCATGAACTGATATATTAGTAGTTTCAAAAATCTTCTTGCAGCTAATCTAAACTTATTGCTGTTGGAGTGAATTTCGCACTATAATTTGATATGTCAACTGAACTTTCCGATGCTGTTGGTGACCTTAATATTGAGCAGACGAACGAGAATGGGAAATGTGAAAATGAAGACGATGACATCGTGGACCCATGGAATGTTGTTAGTAAATCACAGGAAGGCATTGACTATGATAAGCTGATTAGTAAGTTGGAATTACATATTTTCATTACGTACTAAATTTGGAAATACAAAATAGATATTTTAATAATAATTAGTAATACTGTCAATATTTTGCAGGAAGGTTTGGCAGTTCCAAAATTGATCAAGAATTCATTGCAAGATTTGAGAAAGTTACAGGGAAGAAAGTGCATCACTTTTTGCGACGTGGGATCTTCTTTTCTCATCGTGATGTGCATACAATATTGACCCATTATGAACAAAATAAGCCATTTTTTCTTTATACTGGTAGAGGTCCTTCTTCAGGTTCTATGCATTTAGGGCATTTGATACCTTTCATATTTGCAAAGTAATTTGTGTTTATTTTATTTTCTTGACATTAATTTGACTTATTTCTGCCATTCCATTATCAAACAAGGAAACTATTTTCAGGTGGTTACAAGATATTTTTGATGTACCCATTGTTATTCAATTGACTGACGATGAAAAATTTTTGTGGAAAGATATTAAACTGGAAGAAGCCAATAGGTTGGCCTACGAAAATGCCAAAGATATTATTGCATGTGGTTTTGATGTGAACAAAACTTTCATTTTTTCTAATATGGATTTTATGGGGTAAGTCAGAGTAAATATGATTTTTAAAATATTTTTTTAAAGTACATAAGTTAATCAACTTTTGAATATCAATTATTTTCAAAACCTTTTAGGCAGAATCCTGAATTTTATCGAAATATTTTACGAATTGAAAAATGTGTGACTTTTAATCAAGTTAAAGGAATATTTGGCTTTGGGGATAGTGACGTCATTGGAAAAATTAGTTTTCCAGCAATTCAAGCTGCACCATGTTTATCTTCTTCCTTTCCTTTTATTTTTGGAAAGGCGAAAGTGCCTTGTTTAATTCCTTGTGCTATTGATCAAGTAAGTAAGTAAGTAGTACCTTTTCTAATAGTACAGTCAATTAGTCATTTTAATCTGCGAAAGGTAAGGTAGGAGATTTTGTTTCCATTGTTATTAGTAAGAATACCCTAAATTTTCCACATTGAAATACATTAGGAAAAGTTTTGGTAGCGAAAAATCTGCAACAATTTTTGGGTTTTGTGTAATAACTATGGGGTGGATATTGACGACCTAAAACATCATCAAAAGTGATCAATAAAATGCTCTTAAAATTTTTTTAAAATGCCCCAAAAGCATGGAAAAAATGATGTAAAAATATTTGATCAAAACCAGTTCAGATGGAAAAACTCTGGAAACTGTTGGAATATTACTGATGTAATCAAGGCTTCTTCATTTCAAGTGAACTCAGCTGGAAAACTTTTGTTTTAGACTTCTTTACCAGGACATTTTTGTCTCTTTGGTCATCCCGAAATTGGCTGAATTGACAATGGTGCTCTTAGGCGTCACAGGAACCTTAGATTAAATTGTAATGACACAATAGCTGATATTACTATTTCAGAGTGAAGGAAAATCAAAAAGGCTACTTAGGAATTCTGTGGAGAACATTTGTTGGATATTGTAATTATTATTTGAAGCATGTACCATTATATTCCAAACAATGAAATCAACTAAATATGCGGTCCAAAAAATTACGGAAATAGATAAAAAAAATTACTACTAGTTGAAAACAATGAAAAATGCAAATAAATGACATACAAAAACGTGTTGTTTCTTCTGGTCATAACATAAAATGAATGTCTATTTTAAAAATATTTGTTTTAAAGTGAAAAGTAAAAAAATGACATTTAATAAATCCCCCCCCCCTACAAATAGCTTTTAATAGTTGATCTTAGTGCAAACATAGTTACGTACACTTTTGAAAGTCATAAACGTCTCTACAAATTTGGTTGATAAATAATTTTTCTCAAGCAAATAATATGATATCTATGAGATTCTAGAATTTCTCTATTTTTAGTTGCTCGAGGAAAATAATTTATAAAGAAATTGTTTTTTTGGAGAATTTTATGACATTTAAAATTGTACTTAACTATTTTTGCACTAAGATCAACTATTAAAAAGTTATGAAGTAAAAATCAAAATAAGCCAGAAAATTTGGTGTTTTTTTGTTACTAAAACTTTTCCCGAAGTATTTTGAATTGGAAAATTTTGAGTTTTCTTACAGATAACAAAATTAACATAATAATAAAATAAAATCTTCTATCTCCGTTTGCAAGGTGAACCCCCTCTATGGCTCCCCATTGACTGCACTAAAATATAAATGAAATTTTTTGATACCTTATATGAGAGAAATGTAATTGCTACATTTATAATAGATACATTGTTAATAATCATACATTTCCAGGATCCCTATTTTCGGATGACAAGAGATGTAGCACCTCGACTGGGTTACAGCAAACCGGCTTTGTTGCATTCCACTTTTTTTCCTGCTCTTCAAGGAGCGCAAACAAAAATGTCAGCTAGTGACAATAATACAGCAATTTTTTTGACAGATACACCTAAACAAATAAAAAACAAGGTATAAATGGGAAAGATATATTTTAGTTTTATTAGTTGTTTTACATATTAAGCATGATCTTATTAAATATTTTAGGTGAATAAGCATGCATTCTCAGGAGGTCAAGCTACTGTAGAAGAGCATAGAGAAAAAGGGGGAAATTGTGATGTAGATATATCATATCAGTATCTGACCTTTTTCTTAGAAGATGATGAACGCTTGGAGCAGATTAAGAAAGTAAGTACATTGTCAGTGTTGAAGCTCGTATTATATTAATTTCTCTTTGTTGACCTCATTTAACATAAATTCATGTTTTTTAAATGTCTGTCTTCGCATAAACGTATTATTAAATAATACAAATCCTTTGTTCTTCACATTGACACATACTTGTGTAATAAATATGGCTAAATCATCTTTACTATTCATTCTTATGAAAAATAATTCTTAGAATTTCCTCTCAGTGCTTTTCTTATGATAGTTTTTACAGTAAAATCAAACTCACAACAGACATTACACCTAGTGTAATTAATATTACTATGTGAAAATTTTTTGCACACTGCTGTGTTAAATGGTTTATCAGAATGTACAGTAGATATCAGTATGTGCAATGTATGTTACAGGATTACACCAGTGGAACCTTATTAACAGGTGAACTGAAGAAGATTCTTATTGAAACGTTGCAGCCTATTGTTAAAACTCACCAGGAGAACAGGGCCAAAATAACTGATGAAATAGTTAGGGAATACATGACTCTGCGCAAACTAAACTTCCAATGTTGATAATATATCATATTACTAGATGAAGACAACAATGAAAACTTTCTTTACTTGTTCAGACATTTATTTAATTTGAGCAGTAACTTACTTGATCTGTAGTGACTCGCTTCTAATGCTCATTGAAGTTCCTTGTTAAGCACCTTCAAAAGTCGAAGTCATTAAGTCAAAAATTAAATAGAATGATCTTCGGAGAAGATATGTTTGATGTGCTCCGAAATAAACTGTGTAAACTGACTTAATGTTCTATATTTGGTCTTGTTAAAACTTTAAAAGTCACAGACATTGTTGGCAAGCTTTGAAAATATAATGTTGATATTTTGTCATGGTCTGAGTAATCGGTGCTTTTCTGCCAATAAGACGCTTTAAAAAAAAAAAGCACCTTTCATCATTTCCTTAAAGTGAAAAATCATTACTTAGATTTCCACAGATGAGCATTTGTATATTAACACATTTCTAACAATTTTATTTTACGATGAACAAATAAAATGCACAGATTCTTCGTAAACAAAGTGGGACCTTCAAATAGTTTTTTCACTCTTTTTCTTAAAAATTGATTGTCAGACTGAAAGATTTTAATATTTAATAAATAGATTCCCAGTGTAATTTATTTCTGTTGAGCTGTTACATGTTTATGACAAATAAAGAGAGATCAAATGAGATAAAATCTGCTCTCTGCACAAAATGCAGTGACTACATCTTTATGAATAGTTCTCTCTGAATTGTTTTGTATTGTATTTGGGATATTTTCAAGTAAATGCCCATTTATTTGAATTCATGTGATTTGCGAGTTATATGAGGTACAGAGATGACCATGTTCACTTAATCACTATTGAAGTATCATTCTATATGTTACTGACTGTTAGGTACCATAATTATTATTTATTGTAATGATGTGCTCAGCAGGGCTGAGATTAGGTGATGAATGTTTCAAGAAATGGATGATAGTATTAAAAATGTTTTTTAAAATTCTGTTTGCCTTTTATCAGAATCACCTATTAATTTCATATTCCATTATTATTATATTTCTATTCACTAATCATGATAGTGGAGATAACTGATACAGGTTTACATCATAACCTGTTAGATTAGGAGAGGAAAAACAGTTCAACACTTGAGTTCTGTGAACTTGTGCCAAGGTGTTTGCAATGATCTCTTAAAAACATAGAATTACACATCTCATGATATCCTATTGACAAGGACCTGCTGAAGGAGCCATACCTACAGTGTTCACGTGTTATCTGTACATGTCAGCTTTGCTGTCTGACCTGTAGGGTGAGGGACGACACTAGAGTGCACAGGAGCGCTGCCATAATCAAAAAATAAAGTAGTTTCTATTGAAAGGCAGCAAGTACTTCAAAAACTTGTAATGAAGGCGGTTTTGTGGCCCTCACAAAAGGCTGTTTCAAAAGGGCAAATGTCTTGCAAACTGCTGCTAACTGATTTTAAGTTTAAATGTAATGAGCATTTGTTTTTTGTGTCAAACAGAGTTACAATTAAATATGTATTTTTACAGGGGTGGATCCAGAGACAAATTTTGGGAGGAGAAATTCAAAATGTTTTGGGGGAATGTGTCATATTACAGATTTTGTAAAATTCACAGGCTACACTCAGCTCCTGCTGCAATTAAATTTTATTCGTTGAAACGATTTTCCTACAATATTTTTGCTTGAAAGTTTCATGACAAGTTAAAATTAATAGTTCTAAAAATTGTAGGGGGTGAAATTTCCCGAATTTCCTTCCCTGTAGATCCATACCAGATTTTAATTTTTACTTCAGATCATCGACATAGTGAATATTGGGCACTACACGACTGAGATTCTTTTAAGCATGGTATTCCATAGTTGAGAAATTAGTGTTTTCAAATAAAAACTTTTTAAATTACTTAAATTGTTTTTCTTTACATTTAAGTATTCCAAGTAAGATTTTTCTACATATGTATGACATTAGACCATTCTTTGGAAACAACTAATATTAGCATGAAGCAATACAAAGCAGTTAG